AGAGGGGCACTTGTGGGGATGAGCACTGGGTGTTATATGGAAACCAACTTGACAATAAACTATTTGTAAAAAAAATAATAAAAATAAACATCTCTGTAAAAGCAAAAAAAAAAAAAAAAGATCGTGTATATATCAAGACATAGGTACTTAATAAGCAGTCAACAAATCCTTTCCCCCTCGTTTAGGGCCAAGTGTTAGCTTCATGTAATATCACAAAAGAGAGAAAATGCTAAACAACCAAACAAAGCCAAAGCAGGGGTTCCTCACTTAAGATAGTACTTAGCAAATACCTCCACCTAATCTAGTGTCTGAAGAACAAAGATCTCGCCCCCTTCCTTTTTGCTTTTTCAATGTCCTGGCGCTAACAGCAATAGCACCTTGCACCTAGTTGACCTTTGATAATTGTTTCCTTAATAAAATTCTCCTTCCTTGGGGATAAGAGACTAAGGGTCATTCACAATGGAAGAAAATAACTTGACCTAAGAAATAAAGAAGCAATGAAGCAACTCTTCAGTAATATATAAAAGTAGTTAGTAAACCATGTTACCACAAAGGCTTTAATTATCAAAGCCAACTCACTTTTATCATAGATCCTTCCCCACACTAAATGTTACCAGTGATTAGCAAAGGATTCAAGCAAAAACCAGACACAGACATTGCATTGCTTTCTAAAGGGGCCCGGACCCATTGGATTGAGCTTCCTAATTATCCCTTTTCCCTCAACAGTGCATCTCTTGGTTTTTTGGAGTAAAATGCAAGTACTAATAATGTGCATCGTGCATGTCAGCTCAGAGGAAGTTGTTTAGCTTTGAGCCTCTTAGTTTTTATACTCCATTAATCACACAGGCTGGAGAGTTTATAAGCTGTGTATCATAAATCCATAAATCACACAAGCTGGAGAGTTATAAACTACATCTCATAAATCCATAGATTCTAGGCCTATTTATAATAAGCAGCCTGGATTGGCCAGGTATATCCTCTAAAATAATCACAGATAAGAACTTCCCCCATTATCTTCCCACAAGCAAATACCGACTGGCATGTTTTCAAGGTAGTCAACACTACCCAGGCTGCTGGAGGAGGGAAGGAAGGAGGTCTACAACCCTGTCCCTCATGAGCCTAGGACGAAAAACTAAAATTCAGCTGTGCACCTGTGTATTCCAAGAATGGAGATTGATTTAATTTAAAACGTCTATCCTTATATAGAAATAGCCTTTTCTTTCTTCACTCTGGCCATTTCATCTCCCTTCCTGAGATCCTACCACCGTGACCTCTTTCCTTCAGATGACAGTTTTCTAGTAAGGTAGCCACTAGCCACATGTGGCCTACCGAGCACTTGAAATGTGGCTGGTGTGACTGAGGAAAATAATTTTCAGTTTCAGTTTATTTAAATGTAGACTTATAGAGCCACATACGATGAGTAGCCATAACACTGGTATAGAACATTTGCATCACTGCAAAAAGTTCTTGCTCTGCCTTAAATCATATCCAGGACTCTCCCTCTCTACTTCAAAATTCCTCATCAGGAAAACCAATCTGATCTCTGCCCCCTCTCCTCTTGGAAGGTGAATTTATTTAATGGTCTTCTTTTACCAAACCCTCAGTTACTTAATAAGCTACAACAAAAAGTGACAAGTGTGTCTTTACTTTCATGTCACTTATTACCCAGTTGGAGAGAGAATAAATAGCCACAGAGCAACTATAAAATAATCCTAAGGAAAACACTTTGGGGAAGGTACCATATAGCTGGATACCATCCCCCATACTTCATCAAACCAACACACTTCCATCTGGCAATAAGCAAAAACAAAGCTCTCAAATATGAACATGGCCAGGGAACACATCAAATGTGTAAGTATATGACATGTATGAAAGCGATGATCAATTAATGTTTACTTTTCTAATTTTCCATGAGTATTTATTGAAAATTATGTGAAAGGCACTTTAGTTAATTCTGAGGAAAATATAAAGAGGAATGAAATACTGTTTAATCCTAAAGAGTTTATAGTGTGGTGAACTGATGAAAACTATCACTAGTGAAAGCTGGGAAAACATCAGTACTACAGTTGTTGAGCTCTGGGAATCGCTAACATACATTTATGTTTTGTGTTTGGTTTCTTAAAAAGACTAATGGATGATTTTAATTTGGGTCTAGATATACCTTGAATGCACTGAGAAGAAATATTACATATTAAGAATTCAAGAGATATGTTATTTAGAAATCTGCTGATGGTTGATGTTTATTATTGATGATTTTATTTATATATTTAGTCAATCTTTATGACCTTCATAAATTAACTAGTGTATTAGATATCATATTATTCATTCATCCCGTTTCTCTCTGAATCATTCTAAATAAGCCTCAAGGCCTAATACCAGCTATAAGTAGAGACCTTATAAATTCTTTTCAATGATGCTCCACAATAGATATGTAAATCTACTGTGTCTTTGTCACAAGTAAATGCTTACTGTAAGCAGATTTCCCCACAGACTTACCCTTTCTTCGTATCGTCTTTCAAAGAAAGCCATATCATCCTCTTCAGGTCTCTTTAAGGAAGCAACTTGACCACTTGTACCTACTAATAAGGAAAAAGAAATCTAAGTAATATATTTATGTAATTATAAACTCTCCTGAAATTAAAAAAAAAGAAAGAAAACTTTCCTCTTACCAATGATGAATTCTTATTTTTCAAACCAGAGTGGTCTAAATGGTAATTAATCCTACTACCTAATTATGTTTTTAGAATGCAGAGCATTGTAAGACAAAGTAATTTTTATTGGCAAACACTCTTCTAATGTCCAACTGGTTCATCTTAAATAATACCATGCAGTTACTTCACATAAGAGCATACTAAGCTTACTTCAACTACATTTTAAATTTTATAGTGAAACTAGAAATTCATGTAACACCATAACCGATAATGCACAGAATTACAGAAGGTCTTTGCTAGGGTCTGAATGTTTGTTTTCCCCTCAAATTCCTATGTGGAAATCCTAAAGTGAGATGGTCTAAAAGTGGAAATCCTAGTGAGATGGTCTTAGGAGGTGGGGGTCTTAGGGAGGTGCTTAGGTCATGAGTGTAGAATCCTTAAGAATAGGACTGGTGCCCTTACAGAGATTCCACAGAGATCCCTCACCTCTTCCACTACATGAGGACACAATGAGAAGGACAGCCATGAATCAGGAAGAGGGCCTTCACCGGAATACAACCATGCTGGCACCCTGATCTTGAATTTTCCTGCCTCCGAACTATTAAGAAACACATTTTTATTTATAAGCTACACAGCCTGTGGTATTTTGTCATAGCCACCCGAATGGACTATGGCAGTTTGTTTAAGCAATCAAGATACTACCTGCTTTGAAACTTTCAAAACAAAAATAGTTTTAACCATTTTCCAAAGTATTCACTTCTTAGAGAGAGAGAGAGAAAGAACAGGGGCTGGGCAGAGGGAGAGAACAGAATCTTAAGCAGGCTCCATGCTCAGCACAGAGCCCGACGCAGGGCTAGATCCCACAACCCAGGGATCGTAACCTGAACCAAAATCAAGAGTCGGATGCTCAACCAACTGAACCACCCAGGCACCCCTTTGGTATTCACTTCTTAAAACTAAACAAGCACTAGATTATATTGTGAAAGGAATTTAAAATTGCTTCAGGAAAGAAAATTAGGTTTTCATAAAGAAAACACTAAGTGTACAAGGAGCCTACTTCCATGAGAGTCCACCTTCATTTCAGGTGAATGTACTGTTTGGGTCCTTCCATATCCAGGGAAGAATATTAACCTGAACACATGTTCTAGTTTTTTTTTTAATTTCATAGTTTATCATCAAGTTGGATTCCATGTAACACCAGTGCTCATCCCAACAAGTGCCTTCCTCCATGCCCATCACCCCCCTTTCCCTCTCCCCAACACCTTCAGCCCTCAGTTTGCTCTCAGCATTCAAGAGTCTGTCATGGTTTGCCTCCATCTCCCCAAATATTTTTCCACTTCTCTTTCCCCATGGTCCTCCGTTAAGTTCCTCCTAATCAACCTATATGTGCAAACATATGGTATCTGTCTTTCTCTGACTTATTTTGCTCACCATAACACCCTCAAGTTCCAACCATGTTCCTAAAAATGACCAGATTTCATTCTTTCTCATTGCCATGTAGTATTCCATTGTATAGATAAACCACATCTTCTTGATCCATTTGTCAGTTGATGGACACTTAGGCTCTTTCCATGTTTTAGCTATTGTTGAGTGTGGGAGCCCGACAGTGACCACAAGAAAGCGTGGTTAGGGACGCGGGGACGTGCCTGCACACGGGGCTCCCTGCCTGGGCAAAGCATGCCTGCAAACAGGATGCTCTGCCAGGAGGCCTGCACACAATATCCAATTTTAATGGTCCGCTCGCAAACGAGGGAACATGCCCTCCTTGGAAGTAAGGAGAAGGCTGGAATTGTGGGCAGGCCTCTTAGTAAACATGTTGTGATCACTTCCTCCCTTTGCTCCCCGCTGTCCTTGAAATGTGTTTGGCTACTTGCCCTTAATTGGTAAAGGAATGCATCTTGTAGATTTCAGTATGTATCCAGTTACCGGGGTATAAAATAAACTGCAAGCGCAAGAGGGGCTTGCGTAGAATTGTTCCTCCGGCCGGAGTTGTGTCTGTGTCTGTCCTTTGTGTGTGTCTCGTCCTTTGTGTCATTTCGTCCGCAACATTGAGAGTGCTGCTATGAACATTAGGGTACATGTGCTCCTATGCATCAGCATTTCTGTATCCCTTGGGTAAATTCCTAGCAGTGCTATTGCTGGGTCATAGGGGAGTCCTATTGTTAGTTTCCTGAGGAACCTCCACACTGGTTTCCAGAGGGGCTGCACCAGTTTACATTCCCATCAACAGTGTAGGAGGGTGCCCATTTCTCCACATCCTTGCCAGCATGTATAGTCTCCTGATTTGTTCATTTTGGCCACTCTGACCAGTGTGAGGTGGTATCTCAGTGTGGTTTGATTTGTATTTCCCTGATGATAAGTGACACTGAGCATCATTTCATGTGTCTGTTGGCCATCTGGATGTCCTCTTTGGAGAAGTGTCTGTTCATGTCTCCTGTCCATCTCTTCACTGGATTATTTGTTTTTCAGGTGTGGAGTTTGGTGACTTCCTTATAGATTTTGGATACTAGCCCTTTATCTGATATGTCATCTGCAACTATCTTTTCCCATTCCATCGGATGCCTATTAGTTTTATTGATTGTTTCCTTTGCCGTGCAGAAGATTTTATCTTGATGAGGTCCCAATAGTTCATTTTTGCTCTTGATTCCCTTGCCTTTGGGGATGTGTCAAGTAAGAAGCTGCTGTGGTTGAGGTCAAGGAGATTGTTAGCTACTTTCTCCTCTAGGGTTTTGATAGTTTCCTGTCTCACATTCAGGTCCTTTATCCATTTTGAGTTTATTTTTGTGTGTGGTGTGAGAGAGTGATCCAGTTTCATTCTTCTGCATGTTACTGCCCAGTTCTCCCAGCACCATCTGTTAAAGAGGCTATATTTTTTCCATTGGATACTCTTTCTCGCTTTGTCAAAGATTAATTGGCCGTACATTTTTGGGTCCAATTCTGAGATCTCTATTCTGTTCCACTGGTCTATGTGTCTGTTTTCGTGCCAATACCATACTGTCTTGATGATGACAGCTTTGTAGGAGAGGCTAAAGTCTGGGATGGTGATGCCTCCTGTTTTGGTTTTCTTCTTCAGTATTACTTTGGCTCTTCGGGGTCTTTTGTGATTCTGTACAAATTTTAGGATAGTTTGTTCTAGCTCTGAGAAGAATGCTGGTGCGATTTTGATTGGGATTGCATTGAATGTGTAGATTGCTTTGGGTAGTAATGACATTTTAACTATATTTATTCTTCCAAACCAGGAGCATGGAATGTTTTTCCATCTCTTTGTGTCTTCCACAATTTCCTTCATAAGTTTTCTATAGTTTTCATCATACAGATCTGTTATATCTTTGGTTAGGTTTCTTCCTAGGTATTTTATGATTTTTTGTGTAATTGTGAATAGTATCAGTTTCTTGATTTCTCTTTCTGTTGCTTCATTGTTGGTGCATAAAAACGCAACCGATTTCTGTACATTGATTTTGTATCCTGCAACTTTGCTGAATTCATGGATCAGTTCTACTAGGCTTCTGGTGGAGTCTGTCGGCTTTTCTATGTAGAGTATCATGTCGTCTGCTAAAAGTGAGAGTTTGACTTCTTCTTTGCCAATTCTGATGCCTTTTATTTCTTTTTGTTGTCTGATGGCTGATGATAGGACTTCCAGCACTATGTTAAACAATAGTGGTGAGAGTGGACATCCCCGCCATGTTCCTGATTTCAGGGGGGAAAGCTCTCAGTTTTTCCCCATGGAGGATGATGTTAGCTGAGGGCTTCTCATAGATGGCTTTTATGATGTTTAAGTAAGTTCCTTCTATCCTGACTTTCTCAGGTATCTTTATTAATGATATGTTACCATTTATCCAGTAAAACAATAGTTTACCACTTTTATCAAGGTGACTATCAGAAATGAGAAGCCATATGCTACACTTGCTGAAAAAAAAGTTTTCAAGACCTTGGGCCACTGTATCATTTAAGGATCACACTATAGACACATCTTTAAAATCCAGCTCTAGTATAACTTTCATTAGCACTCTAGAACTCATAATAATGAGTCTTTCTAATAATGAAAAGTCTTTGGCTGGTCACACCTTTCTCTGTGCCTCGAATACCTATACTCAGTCAAAACTGAAGCTTAATTACATCAGCAACAATTATATCAACCTGGAAGTTGATATAATTGTGTCCTTTTTCTTGGATTATATTTCTTACTTCTATCTATATTTTAGCATCACTTTGTTATGTGTTGTCTTTATAAGCAGCCCTAAAATCCCTTGTGGAGAAAAGTCGGGATATGTGAAAACATTGTATGAAATTACCAAAAAAAAAAAAAGAAAGGAAATTCTCATTTTAAAATATTTGTAAATATTAAATACCTAATGCACCTTAAAAATTCCTTCTTCAGGGCACCTGGGTGGCTCAGTCGGTTAAGCATCTGACTTCAGCTCAGGTCATAATCTCATGGTCTATGAGTTCAAGCTTCACATCAGGCTCTGCATTGACACCTCAGAGCCTGGAGCCTACTTCGGATTCTGTATCTCTCTCTCTCTCTCTCTGCCCTCCCCTACTTGTGCTCTGTCTCTCTCTCAAAAATAAACATTAAAACAAATTCCTTCTTCAATGTTTTAATAAAGGAAATAGAATACAAGTGCTTGAAAATAAAACTTATGTATATATAATGTATATGTATAACTTGTATGTATATGCATAATTTATAAATGACAAAACATTGCTAACTTATACTAATATATGCAGGATTACATCCTGATTGGGAAAGCCTGAAGGATCAAAGCAGACCACCAGAAGGCTCTCTTGTTCAGACATCAAAGCAATAACATGCAAGAATAAGGTTTTAAAACTTCAAATTATTGAATTATTAGAATACTCATAATGCTCAGGTTTTGCAATTTTGCCCCCAAAAAGGAAGTTTCTTGCTTTTTTCTCAGTGCATGGGGAATATAAAAGTAAAGTGATAACCAAATTGTGGTAATACTGAGGAAAAAAAGATCTAGAAAATGAAATCAATCGACATTCTTATTTACCACATCCAAAAATATTTGTCAATTTCTTTTCATTACCATCTGTTAGTGTTTCTGGAGAAGAACTAGATGATGCTTGAAATGCTTTTAAAAATGGGTGGTCCATGGATATAACTGGAGAGTCTAAAAACTCCACTGAAGGTGTACCTGATAACAAAAGATATGAAGAATAAAAATTAAATCTCTATGTTAGGATACAAAAAAGTTATTTCCATGCAAAATAAATTAAAACCTCAGCAGAATAATTATAAAATTCCTTTCTATAAAAATGAAATTTTTATTTAAATGTTTATTAGCCATATAAAGGGAATTAGGTAAAAGTATTTTTTTTATTTCTCGGAGATCTTTTTCACAGACAAAAATTATGCATGAATAGAACTCTATCAAAGAGATATCAAACCTTAATAGAGTCACAAAAAACACTATAAAAAGCAAGACATTCATGGGGCTTGGGTGGCTCAGTTAGTTAACCATCCGACTTCAGTTCAGGTCATGATCTTGTGGTTCATGGGTTCGAACCCCAAGTCGGACTCTGTGCTGACAGCTCAGAACCTAGAGCCTGCTTCAGATTCTGTCTCCTTCTCTCTCTGCCTCTCCCCCACTTAACATGCTTATGCTCCCTCACCCTCTCCATCAGCACATGGGTGGCTCAGTTGGTTAAGCATCTGACTCTTGGTTGTGCCTCAGGTCATGATCTCGTGGTTTGTGGGTGCCCCATATCAGGCTCTGTGCTGACAGTGCAGAGCCTGCTTAGGATTCTCTCTCTAAATAAACAAACAAACAAAGAAACAAACTTTAAAAAAATTTTTTTTTAAAGATTCTCTAACTCTACCCTTCTCCCCTGCCTACACACTCTCTCTCTGAAAAATAACAGTATATAAAATATCAATTCTTCCTACATTAATCTATACATTCAATGAGTTATCAACTAAATAATAGAATATTTTGTGATAATAGAATGTTTTCAAAAAATAATGCCAAAGTTCTGAAAAAATTAGAGAGTAAGTCAGGAAAATTCTTTTTTTAATTTTTTTAATTTTTTTTACTTATTTTTGAGAGACAGAGAGATAGAGCACTAACAGAGGAAGGGCAGAGCGAGAGGGAGACACAGAATCTGAAGCCGCCTCCAAGTTCTGAGTTGCCAGCACAGAGCCAGGGCTCTGACATGGGGCTCGAACTTGTGAACCATGATATCATGACCTGAACCAAGTCAGATGCTCAACCCAACTGACCACCCAGATGCCCAAGGAAAATTGTAGTCATAAATATTAACTTATTATAAAGTTAGAGTATTGAAAACAATATGATTATTGCACAGAAATAGACAACAATGAGTCAGAGGATTAAGCTCAGAACAATTTCTGGGTTGGACCGAAAACTACAACTTACTAGCTGAATAACAAAGAACAAGATACTGCACTTCTCTGTGCAGAGTTTCCTTATTTGCAAAATAAAAGTAATAATAGTACCTAACTCAGAGTTATAAGGAAGACTAAATGAGTTAATAGATGTATAGAGGCTGGAAAGCCTCCCGGCAGTACAAAGCTGCAATCGTCATCAACAACATCATTATTATCATTATATTTTTGTCACTTGTAACTGGATCTTCTGTAACTATTTTGTGAGCTTAATACAATCATGCACCCAGGAAAACTGAAGTATGTTTTACTTAAGGAATTTAACAAGCTAGTTATAAAATTACCTAGAAGAGAAAATGCATAGATATATCAAGGGAGTATTGAAACACACACACATACACACACACAAACAGGAGGAGTTTACCATACCAAACATCAAAACACACTATGAGGAATAAGAATTAAAAATAGGTAATATTGACACACACAAGATACACAAAGAGGCCAATGCCACAAAACAGTGAGTAAGACAGAATATGAGAAAGATAAAATTTCAAATAACTAGGGAAAGAATGGTGTTTGGATAACTTGCCACCAATTTGGACAAAACCTGAAGTTATACATAACTCACACTTTCCCAAAAAAATGTATTCCAAATACATCAGAAAGCTAAACATAAAAACAAAAAAATTAAGTATTAAAATAAAATGAAGGTAAACATAATTATAAAATTGCCTCCAAAATTTAAAAACTGTATTAAAAAAAAAAACAAAACAAGGGGCACCTGGGTGGCTCAGTCAGTTAAGCATCTGACTTTGGCTCAGGTCATGAACTCATGGTTCATCAGTTCAAGCCCTGCATTGGGCTCTGTGCTGACAGCTCGGAGCCTGGAGCCTGCTTTGGATTCTGTCTCTCTCTCTCTCTCTCTCTGTCCTTCCCCTTCTTTTGCTCTCTGTCTCTCAAAAATAAATAAGTAAACATTAAAAAACAAACAAATGACTGATTGGAAGAAAATATCTGCAAAATAAATGGCAAAAGATCAGTACACAGAATATAGCAGATTTCCTATAAATAAATGAGAAAAGATGAAAACATAAAAGTGAGCAAAGTATACGAACAGGTAAGTATAGAAAGTAAAATGGCCAATCAATAAATATGAGAAGACTCTCATCTCACTAATAGCCAGGAAAACCAAACTGAAACAATAACATTTCACATGTCAGACTGGCAAAAAATTAGGCTTAACGATATCAATGAGCAGCATAAATGTGAGAAACAGGGAAGCTAAAAAATCACTAGAGGAAGTATGAACAAGTGAGACATTTTTGGAAGGCAATTTGACAGCATGTATTAAATATCACACACTTCGACCCAACAATTATTCTACTTCTCTGTATCTACCTTAGCCTCAAATTTATGTAGTATACAAGGAAGTAAGTTCAAGGATGTTTTTGGCAGGATTGTAAAGGCAAAAACCAAAAAGCAAACCATCTCAATTCCATGCACAAGGTTTAGAAAATCTCACAAAGCGCCATGATTGAAGGGGGCCTGACCAGCAATCAGGGCTGAGAAGGCAAGGTCAGCCCCATGCACTTGCCTTTTACAAGGAAATGCTCCCAAGAATTGTAAATATGTACATTTGTCTGCCTGTGTGCCTTGAGTACTGCATTGTTGATTTATTAAAAGCAAAAAGTCTCTGGGGCGCCTGGGTGGCTTAGTCGGTTAAGCGTCCGACTTTCGCTTAGGTCATGATCTCGCGGTTCGTGGGTATGAGCCCCGCGTCGGGCTCTGTGCTGACTGCCAGCTCAGAGCCTGGAGCCTGTTTCGGAGTCTGTGACTCCCTCTCTCTCTATGACCCTCCCCTGCTCACGCTGTCTCTCTCTCTCCTAGAGAGGCATTAAAAACATTAAAAACAAAAATTAAAAAAAAAAAAATAGGGGCACCTGAGTGGCTCAGTTAGGTGATCAACTTTGGCTCAGGTCTTCAGCTCAGGTCATGATCTCATGGTTCATGAGTTTGAGCCCCATGTCAGACTCTGTGCTGACAGCTGGGAACCGGGAACCTGCTTCAGATTCTGTGTCTCCCTCTCTCTCTCCCCCTCACCCACTCATGCTGTCTCTCCTTCGAAAATAAACATGAAAAATAAATAAATAAATAATTTAAAAAATAGATAGGAACCATATTCTCCCCAATCCTATTCAACTCAGAAGACTCAGAAAAAGAAGAATCCAGCTACCTTCAATAGTTCAAGATATTTCCAACTGAACTTTCCCTATATTACTTCGCTTTCATGTACGCAAGCAGTGTGTGCATACGTTGTTATAAACGTGATAACATGTACATGCATGCATAGACATATGCACATAAAGACCTAAGGGTATTTCCAAAATGCGATGGCTATAATGGCCCCCCCGCCAAAAAAAAAAAAAAAAAAAAAAAGGCATTACAAGAGGGTTACAGTGAGATAAACTCAGTTATTACAAACAACAGGGTTGTGGGTTGGGATTTGTATATTGGGGTAGGCGTGATCTTTTATTTGTGTGTTTTCTAAATTTTCTATAATGCCCATATATTGTATAGTGGCATAAAACCCTTATAAAAAATAAAAATCAGATGAGAGACTGTTTTCTGGAAAAAAAAACCTAAAGAATATAAAGTACAAAACAAATATGGGGCTTCACTATTGTCAGCACACATAAAAACGTTACAAACTCAGTCTGTAGATCGTCACTTACCAATCCCGCTGTCATCTAATCGCATGTAGCCTTCTGCCAGCGAGCTGAAGCCAGTCAGGCCTCCCATTGCTGCATAAGGGACATCCTGTCCCACTGGTTTTCCCTGGGCCAGTCTTTCTTGCTTAGTTTCCACTACTGTGTCATGAGCATATGCAGGCTGACCACAAGCACAAGTAAAGCAACTATGGAATCCTGAGCACTTGGAACCTGAATTAAGATGGAAAGGGTGTTAAGTGTCTTTAGATAAAGGTACTAAGCTGCCTGCACTTAAAATGCTTAGCTTGGCCCCAACCACCTGAATCCTGATGCCTCATATGCTGTCCTCTGGCCTCTGTAATTCTAATCTCCAGCCCTTGAATTCTTTCCCAGCCACTGCTCTTACTTCTGTAAGGTACTGAAGTGAATAGGGTAAAGTAAGACTTGCAGCAGAAAAAAAATACTGGGGCGCCTGGGTGGCTTAGTCGGTTAAGAGTCCGACTTTCGCTTAGGTCATGATCTCGCGGTTCGTGGGTTCAAGCCCCGCGTCGGGCTCTGTGCTGACTGCCAGCTCAGAGCCTGGAGCCTGTTTCAGTCTGTGTCTCCCTCTCTCTCTGACCCTCCCCTGCTCACGCTGTCTCTCTCTCTCTCTCTCTGTCTCCTAGAAATAAATAAAACATTAAAAAAAATTTAAAAAAGAAGAAAAGAAAAAAGAAATACTGGAAAAACCAACTAGGACTAAAAGAAATTGAGCTAACACTGGAGAGCTAGGAAATGTAGGCCGTCGCCTTAAATACTCAGTTAAAAGCGGGTGTGGACAGCCCAGTGTAGGACCAGGGGAAGAGATAAGTGGAAACCTCCCTAGGGATTAATGCCTCATAAAAGCCATATAGGAAAGCCAACCCAGAGACATAGAAAGGACACAATGGAATACTGTTTACAGTAAAAACGAAAGGAGTACTGACACAGGCTACAACATGGATGAGTCACACAAACATCATGCTGTGTGAAAGAAGCCAGTTACAAAAGGCTACATATTCTATTATTCCAATTATATGAAATGTCTACAATATGCAAGTTCACACAGACAGTAGGTAATTATTGGCTGCCTAGGGCTGAGGGAGAAGAAGGAATAAGAAATGACTACTAATGGATATGGGGTTTCTTTTGAGAGTGATGAAGATGTTTTAAAATCGACTGTGGGGATGGTCACACAACTCTATGAGTATATTAAACACCATTAAACTGCATCCTTGAAATGGATCAGTTATACAGTATTTGAATTATATCTTAACAAAATTGCTATATATTAAAAAAAAAAAAAAAACAAGCTATACTGAAATAGAGGCCAAAATACACCATTAACAAAATTTTACAGGCTCACGCTTCCAAAAAATGTGTACATAATAAATAAGTTTTGGGGGCGCATGGGTGGGCTCAGTAGGTTAAGTGTCTGACTTCAGCTCAGGTCATAATATCACAGTTCGTGGGTTCAAGCCCTGGGTCAGGCTCTGTGCTGATGACTAGCTCAGAGCCTGGAGCCTGCTTCAGATTCTGTGTCTCCCTCTCTCTGGCCCTCCCCTGCTCACTCAGTCACTCTCTCTCAAAAATAAACATTAAAAAAATTTTTAATAAATAAATTTTATCCAACTACTTCCATACTTAGCCAATGAAACACATCTATTCCCGCCACTGTCATAAAAAATGTTTTATAATGGGGCGCCTCGGTTGAGTGTCCAACTTCCGCTTAGGTCATGATCTCGCGGTTCGTGGGTTCGAGCCCCGCGTCAGGCTCTGTGCTGACTGCCAGCTCGGAGCCTGGAGCCTGTTTCAGAGTCTGTGACTCCCTCTCTCTCTGACCCTCCCCTGCTCAAGCTGTCTCTCTCTCTCTCTCCTAGAAATAAATAAAAATGTTTAAATAAAAATGTTTTATAGTCAGTTAAGTGTCTGACTTTGGCTCAGGTCACAATCTCACAACGTGAGTTCTAGCCCCACATCGGGCTCTGTGTTGACACCTTGGAGCCTGGAGCCTGCATCAGATTCTGTGACTCCCTCTCTCTCTGCCCCTCCCCCACTTATACTCTGTCTCTCTTTCTCTCTCTCTCAAAAATAAATAAACATTAAAAATTTTTTTAATGTTTTATAACATATTTCAATTCCAACTGCTATGAAAACTGGACTAAGTCTCTCCTGAAGAAAATGGTGAACAAATGTCCTATTTTAAGAGGTTTTTAAAAGGATGATCAAGTGAATGAGCATAGAGGATGGGGGCAGAGATTTGGGTATAGGTATTGAGGGAAGAGTGCTAGCACACATAACGTGTTAAAATTATGTTACATTTTGCTTTTCCCATCAGCCTATGTTTGAGGCAATAACCTAATAATCTACCAGCAAAGCATTACATTTTTTTCAACTTATCAAATCCTTTTTAAAAGCCTGTAAATACAATTTAGTTGACAAAATTCCCACTCAAAAACTTAAGTCACATCAGGTCTAGGTATTCTTTAAAATCTATTACTATCATTTGACTTATTTTAATTTTTTAATGTTTATTATTACTGAGACAGAGAGAAACAGAGCATGAGTGGGGAAGCAGGAGAGAGAGAGAGAGAGAGAGAAAGAGAGAGAGAGAGAGAGGGAGAACCTGAAGCAGGCTCCAGGCTCTGAGCTGTCAGCACAGAGCCCGATGCAGGGCTCAAACCCAAGAACTGGGGGAGCATGACCTGAGCCAAAGTCAGACGCTTAACCGACTGAGCCACCCAGGCGCCCATCATTTAACTTATTTTAATTACACGAGGTTAAGGCTTAGGATTGCAAAGCACACAAACAACTCGGAGTTTACCACAAACATAACATGTTAGAGTAGCTGTCCATCAACTTTTTCTGTGTTGTTTAATACTGACTACATAGCTGAATAAAACTGCCACAAAGACACATTACATATTCAATAAAGAAACAGAAACATTCTGTTGGGTGTGTTTGTAATAAGGTAACTCACAGGCATTGCACATGAAGCCAGGCGCAGCCCTGTGCTGATCAGCAAAGTGCTTGCACCTGCAGCGAATGGGCTGCGCACCATTGAGAGGGACATAAAGGTAAGCCCTGCACTGGCAGCCAGTCACTCGGCAAGGGAGACTAATGGGGCGCTGCTGTGGAATCGTTTCAAAGTCAGTTTTATGTTGTTTATACCTGAAAAAAATAAAAGGGAAGAAATAAAAGCAATGCAGGTATTGCTGGAAATTACAATTGGTCTGTTCTGTTTAATGCACACTTAACTCTTTTTTATTCCGCTGTTCTTGTTGGTAAGGTGAAAATCAACTCCCTTACAGCATTTCTGTCAACTATGTCAGAAATTGGTCAGAAAAAAACTTTGACTCTTTCAGATTTTTATTTTTTGTTATTTAAGAACAAATTTTTATTTTTAGTTAAAGAGCAATATATGAAGAAATAAAATGCCCTTAAGATACTCACTTCCTGCTCTTAAGGTGACATTCAATTTAAAAAAACATTAAATTCATTATTCTCAATATTCATCTAAGTAGTACAAGTTAAAAGAGCAATGAGATACCGTTTTTCACTTAGCATAGAGAACCAACTTTTTTTAAACTATACATAGTTCACAATGCTTTCGAGAATGTTACAAAAGAACCAATCTCATTTACTGCTTCAAGAAACTTAAAAAGATCCATAATTTCCATGGTGTATATAATTTCACATATAGCATTTCCTAATATACATAATTGTTAAATCACTGTTATACACCTAAAACTAACATATCAACTACACTTCAATAAAAATAAATAAAAATAAAATCATCAGGGGCGCCTGGGTGGCTTAGTCGGTTAAGCGTCTGACTTTCGCTTAGGTCATGATCTCGTGGTTCTTGGGTTCGAGCCCCGCGTCGGGCTCTGTGCTGACTGCCAGCTCGGAGCCTGGAGCCTATTTCAGAGTCTGTATCTCCCTCTCTCTCTGACCCTCCCCTGCTCACGCTGTCTCTCTCACTCTCTCTCTCTCCTAGAAATAAATAAAAATTAAAAAAAAAATTTTTTTTAAATCATCAAATTTAATAGAAAAAACATCCTTTAACCCGACAGTTCATTTTACGAAAATATACCCTAACAAAATAATTCTGTGTATAGAGTTTTGTGCATAAAGATAATATCAGCAATAGTGCTTACAGTAGCAATACACACACATATACAACACATTAATAAGGGATGAATAAGTAAATCACTAGACAACAGTTTTTAAAATATTTAGCAGTGAAACCCCTTCTTCAAATAAAAACTTTTACAGAACCATAATATATAAAATAGATAAAAGCAGAATTGGTTAAAGCAAGAGAAAGAGCCAGAACTGGAGTCTGTCCTTCTCCTGACCTCCCGTTCTATATGGTACATCCCTGAGACCCCCTCTAAGGCTCCAGGGAACGTACAATGAACATCACTGGACCAGCTAGAATATTGAGCAGGTATTAAAAATCTTATTTAGGGGCGTCCGGCTTCGGCTCAGGTCATGATCTCACAGTTTATGGGTTCGAGTCCCGCATGGGGCTCTGTGCTGACAGCTCAGAGCCTGGAGCCTGCTTCGGATTCTGTGTCTCCCTCTCTCTCCCACCCTCCCCTGCTCACTCTGTCTCTCTCTTTCTCAGAAATAAATTTTTTTAAAAATTACAAAAAAATTTTTTTAATCTTGTTTAAGGGGCGCCTGGTGGCTCAGACAAGGGTGAGCAGATTATCTGACTCTCAATTTCAGCTCAGATCATCATCTGAGGGATTGAACTCACTTGGGATTCTCTTTCTCCCTCTACCCTTCTCCCTCTCTCTCTAAAATTTAAAAAAAATAATTTTTTTTCACATTAAAAAAAATCTTGTGATTACTATGTAACAATGTGGGAACATTTCTCTAAATCTGTCATTAAAAACTTATTCAATATTTATGAGCACGTATAATTAATAACTAAATGAATGTCAAGAAAAATATATACATGAATACAGTAAATCCATGAATACTGTAAGATGTAATTGATAGCAGCTGGCTTTAGGTGGTGAGTCTTCTTTCTATTTTTCTATATATTATTCGTTTACCTTAATAACAAGTATAATATTTACAGGGGCGCCTGGAGGTTTAGTCAATTAAGGATCTGACTTTTATTTCGGCTCTGGTCATGATTCGTGAGATGGAATCCCACATGGGCCTCTGCACTAACAGTGCAGAACGTGCTTGGGATGCTCGCTGGCCCTCTCTCTCTTTGCTCACCCGACTTACACTCTCTCTAAACTTTAAAAAAAAATTATATATAGGGGTGCCTGGTGGCTCAGTCAGTGAACTATCTGTCTTCAGCTCAGGTCATGATCTCATGGTTCACGAGTTCGAGCCCCATGCCGGGCTCTGGGCTGACAGTGCAGAGCCTGCCTGGTAGTCTCCCTGTCTGCTCCTACCAATCCCCCCCCACCCCCCTTGCTCACACACCCTCTCTCAAAAATAAATAAACTTAAAAAAAAAGTATAAACCTTTAAAATAATAATAATAATAGGGGCGCCCGGGTGGCGTAGTTGGTTAAGCGTCCGACTTTCGCTCGGGTCATGATCTCGCGGTTCGTGGGTTCGAGCCCCGCGTCGGGCTCTGTGCTGACTGCCAGCACAGAGCCTGGAGCCTGTTTCAGTCTGTGACTCCCTCTCTCTCTGACCCTCCCCTGCTCACGCTGTCTCTCTCTCTCTCTCCTAGAAATAAACAAAACATTTAAAAAAATAATAATAATAATATTTGCAGTAGGGAAAAAAGAATAGTTTAGTCAGAGATCTCACTGAGTAACCGGTTCTAAAGAACTTTTTGATGGAAGTTGGGTTGGGTCAATTTTGAAGGTTAATTGCATGCTACATAATTATACATATAAGAGACTGGCAGTAAATTTATACAAGAATAAACGGTAAAACCAACACAAATTTACCAAACTCCTCTTCAATTCTGAAAGAGATCAACATAACCCTCATCCTCCATTCCTCCAGTGTTGGGGTTGCTAAATAAGTTTCAAGTCAATCTATATAACATTACTCATCCTAGCAACAGCTTAACAACCTTTGGCAGACAGCAAGTCTGTAAATAGCAACTATACAAAGAGTCTCTCATGAGAGAGCCCCAGAAACTGTCAGAACAGGGTGGTTCTCCTTCCATGATTTCTTTGGAACAGAAAGTTAAAACTTGTTACCTGAAAAGAGATAATAGGTTCAGTGATAATTTTTTTTACATGATGCAGCTTTGTCCTTTTGAATTTTACAACTGTGACCTGTGACCGTAATAAAATTTAAAGTCGAACACGACAAACACAGCTAAACGCAAACTTCAGGTATGGGCAACGTGCATCAATGACTGGAGCCTCCTGTATTTTCTTACCTTCGTGTGCTTTACTTGGAAAAAGACCATTTGTAATAAAAAGCTGTGTGCTTGTATTTTTGTTTGTTTCAAGAAAGGCATCAACATAGTATGTTTCTTAAAATACAAAGGGAGATTAGTCAATTTGAGGAGAAATGCTATTTGTAGGTTGCAACCTGTTCAGTGTGGGTCAACTCAAGCAACCCTTAAGGCAGTTTCACATTCTGATGACCTGTCCTCCACTACCTCTTCCAGTAGGGGGTGAAGCAGACCCCTGGCAAAGCTGCAGGGGTACCAATCGTCTTTAACCAACTGCAACAGAAAAGATGCTTAGGGTGATGGACTCCATAATGAGTTCTAACAGGACATAACAGAAACTTCGTAATTATAGCAAAAAAAAACACAAGACTTTAGACAATTTCTGGGTTAATATAAAAGCCTATTTTTTAATGTTTCTCAGTTCTCACAAGTAATGTTATTTATCAGAGGAAGTACGCAGTCCTATAGTCTTATATTTTCTAATCTCACCTATGTGTACAAAAGCACAGTGTCTCTGGACCCACAAGTTTACAATCCATTCCAGTTGGTGATCGCCAGCTCACAAATAATCTGTTTTGTAAGCGCATCGGCAATACTTTTTTTTTGTATTCTTCATATTCTTCAGGAGTAAAAGGTTTCCCTCCATCGTCCTCACCAACAATTCTACAAGAAAAAAATTCTCTTAAGCCTTGAATATATATTTTCCACATTATAAATGCCAAGCTCCAAAACTAAACTATATTTCTCAGGTCAGAAGAAATGCGGCTTCAGCTTTGACTTCTTACTTTAGGCTTATGTTAATTGCAAAATTAGACACAATGGCAATAACGTGTTTGCTTCCCACGTAAAAGAGGAAGTCAATGAACTCGTATCATCTGACTTTACCCATCCAGGTTTATCCCTGGACCATTACCACAGATCCATCTCAATAGTTCCTTTGATTCTGAAGCAAACATGCTCACCCTTTTCATTAAAAGCTGGAACCTAAACTCCTAAAATTTCTAATATTTTCCTCCCTTAAAACCAGTACTCCCCTCCAACAAAACCAAAAAACAAAAACAACGGTACAAAAAAACATCAGCGCAGAAGACAATATGGGTAATGGGAACCCAAACCCTGGCTGAGAGTTTAACCCCACAAATGCCCTTGGATCTGCACAAGCTTAACCCAAATCTGTATTGTGTCATTAAATAATTAATTAAACCATTAATTAAATTAGTAATTTAATGATTAATATAAATAATAATTAAATTTAATGATAATTTAAATTAAATCATTAATTAAATCATTGTTTAATTCCAAAACTACAACTTCAAAATTTTATGGGAAAATATCAAGCCACCACTATTTCAAACAGCAGTTACAGAATAACCAAGGGATCTAGTTCAAAGGCATATTCAGATTGACAGGTTTGGAGTGGGCCTGAGAGTGTGCATTTCTAACAAGCTCCCAGGTGATGCCCACACCAATGGACCATGATTGCGACACCTTGAGTAGCAAGGCTCTAACTTTTACAGCCAATTGTTCCAGGTTATTTATGTTTACAAAAATAATTTTCGACCAGGCCTGAATATTTGAACCAGACAAGAGACCTTATATGGAGGCACACAACCCACACATCTAAACATCTAAATCTCTAAGTTATCAATCAACAGCAAGGCCCACAACTCCTTCGCAGGGAAAAGCCTTGGAGACTTGGAGGCTAAAGGAGCCGGCTCTGCCCTTGGTGAGGGCTGGATGGAAGCTGTTCTGAAGCACAGGACTCATGGCCTTTGCGGGACCCACCCGAACTGGGGATGAGGCCTGACCCATTAAGCTCCTCACTCTGGTCTAACTCAGAATAACCAACCCTTTCTAGGTGTTATCCAAAACTTTACCACCGAGACAGCCAGAAGGAGTAAAGGTCAGCTAAGGAATCCGGTTCCCCTAACGCCCCTGGGTGACTTGGGACGACCATCTTTAAGCAGGGCAGCCTCTCTCGCAAAGGTTTTCCAAGCCGCTCAGATTTCCCACGCGGAGCAGTGATTGCCTCACTGCTGGTTTACACACACACATTCTCCTCCCTTCAACCCCCCACCCCCGCCCCGGGGCCAGTCCGTCCCCCCTTGCACACACACAGCCCTACCTCCACCGCCCCCCTCAACCGCACATCCTCTGGCCTGTCCCCCTCTAAGAATTCCCACTTACCCGGTCTCCCAACTGCCAAAAATGCTTCTTGGGAGACCGGAAAAAATAACACGTCTCCACAGGTGCATCAGCCTCCCTCAGGGCCCAGGGCACTGAGTCGTGACCTCAAGCCAAGGGGGGGGGGGGGGGGGGGGGAAAGGAGGCTCTGGTTCCATTTCCGTGAGAGGAGTTTCTCCAGAACCACCGAAACTACGTGTCTTTCTCCTAAAAACAGCACCTCGGGGTTGGGAGCACGTCTGTAAGTTCACGACATACCCTAGTTCTAAACTAACACGCTAAACGATGTCTGTTATTCCTTCTAATGCCCGACCCCTCGATGTGTAACTCTTCAGTGGCCATTTAGAAAAAACACTTGGACCTCGGCATAAATCGAAGAGTTAATAAATCTTCCTGGAAGGGGTCAAATAGGGAGACATCTTAAACACCCTCGGAAGAAATTTATTAGAACAGAAGTGCATGTCATTACAACATTTAATTACAAAAAGACGAAACTTAAATCAATGTACGTAAGCCTCTCCAATAGCCCGGGAACAGATTCCGGGAGCCCCAGCGGGCGGCGCCCCGCCCCTATCCGCGCCACCAGCGCTGCTCCGGCGACGGGAAGGCGGCCCGTCCGGGTTCTCCTCGCCCCGCCGAGCTGCAGCCTCACCTCCGGTACTCCAGGTACTCGTCCACGGCCGCTGCGCCGCCGGAAGGCAACGTTAGCCGCTCCATGGCGGAGGGAAGCCAGACTTGCCCGGGCCGCCAGCGCCGAGTCCGAGCGGCTAAGGAGCCGACTTGGAGGGGCGGAGCCGGCCCCGCCCCCGCCGGCCGCGCCCCCTCCCGCCCGCGTCCTGATTGGCCGGACCGAAGGCCGCCCTGAAGGCTCGCGGGCGCGCGCTTCCACCTGGCGGCAGCTCCTGGCGCAGCAAATCTTCCGTCTCTAAGCGCAGCGCATCCCGCTTAGACTGCTGTTTACCGCCAACTCAGACCTGGTGCCTGGTGCCTCTCTTACCCGTGGTCTTGCAAGTCTCCTTGTAAGATAACAAGTGACAGGGGAGTGCAGTACCTTGCATATAATGGATGCCCAGAGCATGGCTTATTTCTTTATACAGAGCTTCTCACTGATTTTGAAACGGTTCTGGATCGTTGGAGGCCCAGCTCCCCAGGTTCCCCCAGTTGTGTTTTCACAATTGGCGTTTAAAAAACTGTGATGTAACAAGATCTATTAAAACTATCTGTTGAAGGAAAAAAATAAAATAAAATAAAAAAATAACTGTGATGTAGGAACGGGCTTCGGTGGCTTGCTAGGTTAAGCATCGGACTCTTTTTTTTTTTTTTAATGTTTTTTATTTATTTCTAGGAGAGAGAGAGACAGCGCGAACAGGGGAGGGTCAGAGAGAGAGGGAGTTACAGACTGAAACAGGCTCCAGGCTCTGAGCTGACAGTCAGCACAGAGCCCGACCCGGGGCCCGAACCCACGAACTGCGAGATCATGACCTAAGCGGCCCGAACCCACGAACTGCGAGATCATGACCTAAGCGAAAGTCGGATGCTCAACCGACTAAGCCACCCAGGCGCCCCAAGCATCGGACTCTTGATTTTGGCTCAGGTCATGAGCTCACAGTTTGGTTTGTGAGATGGGGTCCTGGTCAGGACTAGACTTTATGCTGAGAGTGAGGAGCCTGTTCAGGATCTTCTCAATCTCTCTCTCTTTTCTCTCTCTCTCTCTCTCTCTCTCTCTCTCTCTCTCTGTACCCTTCCCCCAGCTTGTATCTGCGCTTGCTCTCTCTCTCAAAACAAAGATTTAAAATTTTTGAAAATTAAAATTTAAAACTGTGATATAAGGACACCTGGGTGGCTCCTTTAAGGATCTGATTCTTTTTTTAATGTTATTTTAATTTTTTTTTTTTTTTTTTGGAGGGAGAGAGAGAGTGCGCATGGGGGTTTCGGGGAGAAGGGCACAGAGAGAGGAAGGCATGGAATCTGAAGCAGGTTCCAGGCTCTGAGAGCTGTCAGCACAGAGCCTGACCAGGAGATCATGATCTGAGCAGAAGTCAGAGGTTTAACAGACTGAGCCACCCAGGTGCCCCTAAGCATCTGATTCTTGATCCCAGCTCAGGCCTTGATCTCGGGTTTCTGAGTTTAAGCACCACCTTGGGCTCCCCTCTGGGCATGTAGCCTGCTTAAAAAGAAACAAAGAAACAAAAAACAAAAAAATCAACGTGTGATGTAAAATCAATAGTCCTGGGTGCCTGTATCCAGTTTGGGTGTCACTAAAGCATAGTGTTCTTCCAAGAAAGTGAATGATGGGTTTAAGAGAAAACAAATAGAAATAATATAGTCAAGATTTTTTTTACACCTTTGAAAATATTCTCCACAAAATCTTTTTTTTTTTTTTTTAGATTTTATTTTTAAGTAATCTCTACACCAAGTGTGGGACTCAAACTCAACTCAGAGATCAAGAGTCATCCTCTCCACCAAATGAGTCAGCCAGGAGCTCCTCCACAAAGCCTTTTTTTTTTTTTTTTTTAAGCTGAATTACAGTGCAAATTATTTAGCAATCCGGAAACAGAGTAGGAAATCCATCGTTATTCAAGGAGTCATTATACTCCGAGACTCTCTGCAGATCACCTTTAGCGCCCTCTACAAATTATCTTGGGGGAAGAATTGGCAAACAAAAACATAATTGGTTGAACGGCAATACTTTATTTCAAAAGCACTTTTCTAAACACTGTTATTGCAGGTTCCAAAGACAAGATGTTATGTAGACAAATTGTTTAGATGCCCCCCTTTCCTTTTCAGTGCACTTTTTTCCTTTCTAAAGGCAGTCTTCCTGCTCAGGCAGGTCTCAGTCCCGCTTTGACATCCTCACTACTTTCTGTTAATTGCTTCAGATTCTCTGTCTCCCTCTCTTTCTCCCTCTCTCCTGCTCAATCTCTGTCTCTCTCTTTCTCTCAAAAATAAACAAACCTTTAAAAAATTGTTTTCAAGAAATGGTGGGGTAGACAGTTGCTGGCATTGGTTCAGGACTTTTCCCCATGGCTATAAGATTTCCTGAAATCATATCTGTGGGAAATAAATTTAGGAATTCCCTGGACTTGAACCGATGGATTAACAAGGCATAAAGAATTAGAAAACCATAGGATGCTCACAGCCAAGGTTAGGTAAACAAGAGTAGGTAAATAGGAATAGAAAGGGCGGGGCAAAGGCCTCAGTTATAGAGAGGGTGGGGCAAAAGCCCCAAAATAGAGCAAAGGTATATGAGGTAAACAAGATTGGGTATTCAGGGAGGAAATGCCCCTAAACTTAGTACTATAGCAGAAAGCTACTTTCATAGGAAGTAAGGACCAAATTAGGAAAACAGGTAAATAGGGCTATAGACTGCTGTTGGTGAAGTTGCTCAGAGCGGAGCTAATTAACAAAAGTAGCCTGCTCCGTCTCTCTTGTCCTCTAGACCAGTTTAGGTGGTACCCCATGTCTGCTATAAACAACCTTCTGCCCTGCACCAGGATTTTGTTTTGTATTAACCCAAACCCCTGACACCACGTATTTTCAAACACCCTTTCCCTCATGCCCAGGAGTTAATGTTCACAGTTTCATTGTCTATTTGTGCACATCCATCACCATGTTTATAAGCCTTCTGATCCTAATAAAAACAGAGCAAAGATCCTTATCCAGGGCTCTTGTCTTCTCCTGGACATTAGCCATCTCTGGCATTTTAATTCTGTGTCCTGGCTTCTTGCTGGACAAGAAAGAACTCTAGAAACAGAGTCTTCGACAATATCCAAATTCAAAAAGGAAAGCAGGGAGACAACCAACATCAGCTATTCCTCTTTACCAAATAAGAGTTTTCCTAGAAGCCCCTCCAAAACTGTTTCATTTATATATGATTGACCAGAACTATGTCATATGGCCACCCCTAGTTGTATAAAGGAGACTGGGGAAACAAGCATAGTACTTAGGTTCCCCAGGCTTTATGAGAGGTCAAAGAGAGGGTTAAAAACGTGGGCTTACTTAGACCATAAGGTTTGCCACAGCTCACCCCTTGAATTGCTTAATACCTATGCACACCTTTCTTCACATGCAGACATTTTACATTGAATGCATTCATCAGACCCCTAAGGAAAGCAACCCCAGAGTTTCTACTGCACCTGCCTGGAAGTCTGGAGTCTCTGCAGTCTGCTCTGCCATCTACTCTTAATGGTTTGGTGGTTGATAGCTGAAAGACTAGACAGTCCTTCGCCCCCCCCCCCCAAATACCCAATATTAGTGATGAGGGTAGAATAGGATAATTACAATAAAAATTCTCATTCAGGGGGCACCTGGGTGGCTCAGTCAGTTAAGCATATGACTTTGGCTCAGGTCATGATCTCATGGTTCATCCAGCTCTCCACTCACAGCACAGAGCCTGTTTGAAATCCTGTCTTCCTCTCTCTCTCTCTCTCTCTGCCTTTCCCCTGCTCTCCCTCTCTCTCCCTCTCAAAAATAAATATAACATTAAAAAAGATTCTCCTTCAGAAAAAAAGGAGAATGGGAAATACACAGAAAACACTAGTCCATGGCAAATACCACATCCTGCCAGGCAGGAATAATAATGGCTCCAAGTTCCAGAAGTGTAGGAAGTTCCTTGAATGATCCATCTGATCAGGCAGACTCTGATTTTGCTCTCTAGAAAGATCTCCCTTATCCATCCCCTCCCAACTCCTGGTGTGCCTCTTTGGAAGATATTCTTATTTTAAAGCCATTTATGGCAGCATCTGATGTGGGCATTGAGGAAAGTGATTTTGGGGGGAAAAAGTGTACAACTTTCACAGTCCACACAAAGGCAGGATCCAGGGGAAGGTAAGGGTGGAAGAATCTTGAGTTTTCCAAGCAAGCTTGAGTTTTTGAGAGCAGTATAGTTTCCTCAAAAATTTAGCAGGCTTCAAGTGTTTTTCTTTCTTCTGATCAACTATATGTATGAGTGATCACAGCCAAACACTTGTTTAGACAAAATCAATTTTTCTTATTTTTATTTCAACTGTACTGTACATACGAAAGCACGTATATAACATATATGCACAGTTTATTTTTTTAATAATAATATGAACATCCCAGTAGTAGCTTCAGCTTAAGAAATCACCAATACCAGTAATTTTTTTTTGCTAATATTTCCTTTATTTCTTATATAAAATCCATCCCTAAATCATGGATAATTTTGCATGTTTTTGAACTTTATAAGATTTGTTCTTTTGAAAACTGTTGACATTCATCCACATTGATGTCTGTATTAGATATCCTGTTCATTTCTGAACAGTTATCAAGCAATTATGTAAAATTTACTTATCCATTCTACTGTAATGGACATTCGGTTGTTTCCAGTTTTTGTTATTATAAACATTGCTATTATAAATGTCCAATGTACATCTTTCTTGGTGCAAGTGTTTTTCTAGGGCATGTTTGAAACAATTTTATGGTATGTCATTACATCCCTATAAAGCTGTAAAAAATATATATGACTTTAAACAAGTTTCTCTAGGACAATATTTGAAATTTAATGTATGTTTAAGTCACCTAGAGAGCTTGTTAAAATAGATTGTTGGTGCCATCCTCAGAGCTTCTGACTTAGAAGGTCTGGGGAAATTTTTTATTCCTAATTCTTCTTCGGTGGCTGGAGACTCTTCTAGCATATGTAAAGAGGTATAGAATTGCTCAGTGGTATTATATATAACTGTTCTCCTTTCTCTAGAATGTCAAATTGTTTTCCAAAGTATGCTCCAGCAGCAGTGTAAAACATATCATCACCAATATGTGAAATTGTCCACTTAAA